CTTTTTCTTAAGTTTGCGAGATCTGAATAATTTTAAGCTTTTAAAAAACACAGTCAATATAAGGAAAAGAGGCCAGGCTTGGTTGCTCACACCTGTAATCCTATCACTTTGGGAGGCTGGGTTGGGATGATTGCTTGAGGCCAGGAATTTAAGACCAGACTGAGTAGCATAGCTAGACTTCGTCTCTACAAACAATAATAAAAAATATCCAAGTGTGGTGGCATGTGCCTGAGTCCAGCTACGCAGAAGGCTGAGGCAGGAGGATCACTTGAGCCCAGGAGTTTGGGGTTGTAGTGAGACGATGACACAACTGCACTCTAGCCTGAGTGACAGGGCGAGACCCTCTCCAAAACTTTCTCTCTCTCTCCAAAATTTTCAGGGTACACTTGATAGAAGTCTCTAATAGGGAGCCTATTTTCGTTTAGAGAAATGAAATGTTTTGTCCACCAGCGTCTGAATTTCCTTTCTATTTTTCTTAAATTAGTTTATGGATTAATTTACATAAAATTATTTGTAAAAATTGTATACCATTTTTTCCCTAGAGTTACAGCTGGCTAGACTGCAGGAGCTGGGATTCAGCATGGACGATTGTCGCAAAGCTCTTTTGGTGTGTCAAGGTAATATGAGTGAGGGCTCTGCTGTCTGTTGATTAACCGAATAATAAGCTTCCTTCCCATTTCCTCCCGTGCTGCACAAGGTGAAGACCTTTGATGTGTCCTCTGTGGACTGAATGTAATCATGTGTCAGTAATCATAATGAGCAGCAGTGTTTTATAGTGGCTACAAACGTGGACTCTGCATTTCACTGACTGTGTTCAGATCCCTTCCCTGAGGCTCATCAGCTACTTATTAGTGACTTTGGACAAGTTGCTTAGCCTCTCTGTATTAGTGTTTCCTTATCATTAAAATCAGGATAAGAGGCCCTCCTTCAGAGATTTGATACAAATAAGTTACTATATTCTAAGCCTTTAAGAAAGTGCCTGGCACACAGTGAGAACTCTCCAAACTTTAGCCACTGTTGCTAGTGGTAGTGCGAATGGTGGTGATGCTGGTAATCAGGACCTTTTATCCTGTGTGCCTGTCTCCGTGTTCTCTTGTTGAATCCTCATAGCCCTTGGAGGTAGACATTATTATTCTCACTTCAGGTAAGGAAACTGGCTCAGATAGGTTAAGTGGATTCATTAAGTAAACCTGTTTGAGGTCACCTCTTAGTCTCCTAAGATGGGTTTAAAGCCAGGTCTACCTGACTCCAAAGTCTGTGTTCTTTCTAGATGCATCTCACTGCCTTTTCACCTTCCTCTTTGTTCTTCTTTCTCTTAAAAAAGAGAAGTACAGCACAGCTGTATTTCCTTCCAGTCTTTATGCTTGCATGCACCTTCTCTCTCTTTCTCAGTGTATTATGGACAGTATATTTGTACACATGTAATATTTTATTAATATGTATTGGTAGATTGTGTTGAAAATACAATTTTATAGTCTTTAAAATCATATTTTCTTGAATTATTTATTGAATTATAATTTTATAATCTTATATATCTTAATATATTAGCAGGATCTTCCCATCTCATTAAAATTATTTATAAATATTGACATTTTTACATTGACTCTAAGCATATATTGTAATTTAACCAATCTTTACTTGTTTTTCAATATTATGCACACACAGTTCTGTAATAATCATTTTTTGGTGTCAACTTTTGTCTGTCTTTTAAATATTTCCTTGATAGAGAGACTAGTATTTTAAATACTTGGCCAAAAGGTATAGATGTATTTTTTAGGCTCTTTACTTGAATTGATAAATCTTTTTCTAAAAACATTGTATCCAGGTTACATTCCAGCCAATTATGTGTGAAAATGCTTGTCTCACAACATAATTGTTTATATTAATGATTACCTTTTTCATTCTGAAAAAAGTGAAGGTGGATACCACTAGTTATCAAGTGTTCCTTAGTTTTATTTTACCCTAGTCATCATTGCTTTTTGGTTTATTAATTTTATACCCCTTAATGTTTACTTTTCCTATGTTTTTACTCTTTAACAATTCAAGCACATTTAAAAATATTTCTTAAGAGCCTTTTGGATTTCTTTGTTAATTTTTATTTCTTCATAACTAAAGCTTAGTTCATCTGTAATAAAGATGATAATAGCAACTAATGTTTATAGAGTCTTTATTATATGCCAGACTCCTGCTCTGAGAAGCTCTGAGAACTTTACATGTACTCATCATTTCCTCTTTCTGTCAGTCCTCTTAAGTGGGTGCTGTAGGGCAGCAGTCCCCAACCTTTTTGGCACCAGGAACCAGTTTCATGGAAGGCAGTTTTTTCCTCGGACTGAGGCGGGTTCGGGGGGGGGGGGGGATGTCGTGGTTTGCAGGAAGGTGGTGTGGAGCTCAGGTCGGGTAACATGTGGCCCATTTCCTAACAGACCACAGACCAGTACTGGGCCATGGCCTGTGGGTTGGGGACCGCAGCTGTAGGGCACAAAGAGATCAAGTAACTTGTCTAAGATCTAACAACTAGTAAGTATAGAACCAGGATCTGAAGCTGGACCATCTTGCTCCAGAGCCCATGCACTTGACCACTCACACTGTTCCATGTATTGGCCTCTGGTGATTTATAAGTATGGGGTGACATCGCTTTGCTTTGCTTTTTTCAGGGAAGGAGGGTGTTATAATCTGGTTATATTACGTGCAATTCTGTTTTGCTCTACATTCTCAAGGAATGTATGATTGGTTGAGAAGACACATTATACACAAAGTAAGACATTTGAGGGTAATTATAAAGTAGCACATCAATATGCACAGGACTACATGATGAAGATTAAGTACTTAAGTACCAGGGGGCACCTAGAATTTGGATCCTCTCCTGTTCTCCTCTCTCCTTCAGCAGGTGTCATAGTAGATAGAGGAGGATGGCTTCTTAGAGGCATTTTGAGCCAAGTCATGGAGGGTGTGGTAAACTTGAGTGGAGGGTGTGCAACAAAGAGGGTCTCGTTCTATTTGCTTAGAAGGAAAATTGCTATTATGCTGGGGGTTTTTTTTTCTCCTTTTTTTCTTTTTTTTTTTTTAAAGTCTAAGAATACTTCTGGGATCAAGGCTTTCTGGGGCTGCTCAGTAGGTCTCTATAAAACTTTCTCTGTGAGCTGCCAGGGTAGCTGTGGAAACTGGTGGAATTGATCACTTTTTAATTTCTTTGAAGGCCAATTGAAAAAGGCAGCAAGTTGGTTGTTTAAGAATGCGGAACCTCTGAAGTCTCTTTCCCTGGCCTCTAACAGCCGAGAGAGCCCGGGGGCTGTGCCAGCACCGTTCATCTCTGGAGTGGAGATCAAAGCTGAGAGCGTGTGCATCTGCTTTATCGATGACTGTATGGACTGCGATGTTCCTCTCGCTGAGCTCACCTTTTCCCGTGAGTATTATCCTGATTTTCAGATTCATCTGGAATATTTTTGGTGATTGCTGAATTATTTGGAGCCTGTCTTTTTTTTTTTTTTTAAATGTTATTCATGCTGTCCTCTACTTAGTTGTATGGGTGAAATTTAGATAATGGTTTCACATATGTTTTTCATTATATGTATTTTAAAGAAATTTGTATTTATTTGCCATATGTGGCCTTCAGCCTGTAGTTTGGAAATAATAGAAATTGTCATTGATAAAATTTCCACTGTATTAACAGCTCTAGCTAAATAATTCCCCATCTCTCAAAAAGATACATTTTTTGTATCTTTTTTTTTTTTTTTTTTTTTTGAGACAGAGTCTCACTTTGTTGGCCAGGCTAGAGTGAGTGCCGTGGCATCAGCCTGGCTCACAGCAACCTCAATCTCCGGGGCTCAGCGATCCTACTGCCTCAGCCTCCCGAGTAGCTGGGACTACAGGCATGCGCCACCATGCCCGGCTAATTTTTTGTATATATATTTTTAGTTGGTCAATTAATTTATTTCTATTTTTGGTAGAGACAGGGTCTCGCTCAGGCTGGTTTCGAACTCCTGACCTTGAGCAATCCGCCCGCCTCGGCCTCCCAAAGTGCTAGGATTACAGGTGTGAGCCACCACACCCGGCCATTTTTTGTATCTTTTTATGTATCTGAAGATTGTAGTGAATACTGTTACTAAAAGCATTTAAAAGATAAGCTCAGAAAATAATGGTTCTACTCTATTTATCTCTTGAAAATAAAATTAAAAAACAAAAACAAAAACCAGAATCTTATTGGAAAGCTTACCTCTGAGTCTTCATAGCGCCATGTGAGGGGTAATATGTTATTCATTTGTGAGCTGTGCTTTAATGGAATGGGGACCAGGGTAGGAGGACTTTATCCTTAAGTGCATTATTGCAAGAAGTGTTAACATGAGAACAGTAAATGAAAATCTCATTGCTGTGTTTAGTTTTAATTTTCCATTGTTTCAATTTTGCCAGTCTCTTCTCCCTTCAAGTAAAGTTTGGTTCTGGGCCTTTAATCTGCCCTTCTGTACATTGTAGAGGTTGTCCTTTTCCCTGTGTTTCTAGGCACTGCCAGGGCCACTTGATTAAAAGTAACAACTGGAGGCCGGGCGCTGTGGCTCACGCCTGTAATCCTAGCTCTTGGGAGGCCGAGGCGGGCGGATTGCTCAAGGTCAGGAGTTCAAAACCAGCCTGAGCAAGAGCGAGACCCCGTCTCTACTATAAATAGAAAGAAATTAATTGGCCAACTGATATATATATAAAAAAATTAGCCGGGCATGGTGGCGCATGCCTGTAGTCCCAGCTACCCGGGAGGCTGAGGCAGAAGGATCACTCGAGCCCAGGAGTTTGAGGTTGCTGTGAGCTAGGCTGACGCCACGGCACTCACTCTAGCCTGGGCAACAAAGCGAGACTCTGTCTCAAAAAAAAAAAAAAATAAAAGTAACAACTGGGATTTTGACTGTCTCCATGAATATCTTTTCTGCAGAGAATAATTAGATGATTTCTTATTTTTCTATGGTAATCTTAAAATTTTGAGCTAATATTTATCAGGACATGTCTGCTCTTACCACGTTGCCGTCTTTTCATATGTTCAGATAGAAATTTCTTTTTAATATTCCCATAGATCTTCCCATACATCTGGGTGCCAGGGCTGGGACTGACTCACAACATTTAAGGGGGTGCCAGAAAACTCTGTAATCAAGAGAAATAGTATTTTAATATAATATTTTTAAAAACCAAAATTGATAAAAAAAACACATGATAAATAAAGTATCAAAGTTTTGTGTTCTATCCTATGAGACCATCAGTGAGCAACATTTCTTAATGTGATTTGTCTGCAGGAGACAAATCCTGTCCTATCCTGCCACTGCAGTACGATTTTGCTTTCATTGCAGGTCTGAATTTTCTTCAGCATGTAAGAACTAGCCCTGAAGGCTACGCCCACTTCACCCTTTCTGGAGATTATTATAACCGTGCTCTGTCAGGTCAGTATGAAGCATATGTTATGATGGGATTTAAAAAATATATTTAAATATTGCCATATAAATTTTACATGAGGGAAGTAGGTGGGAGGGTGGGACAGGGAAAGATTAAAAACAAGTGACCACGTAAGCACAGAAGATGAAGAGTCTCTATTTTTCTAAAAACATATCTGATATGTTGCAACTGAATTATTAAAAAGATGTTTTATAGTTAATTCTTTGTGATCCTGCATTTTGGCCCATTCTAGAACTCGCCATTGCTCAATAGTGAAGGATTATTTGTTTGGCCTTAAAAGTAGCTAAATTTCAAGGGTGATTTTTGCCCTTAACCATTTTAAACCTCTTTCTCCCCACTGGGCTAGTTTGTTTCATTAGATGTGTACTGAGTCGGTGACAATGTATATTCTGCCCTACCTACTCCCTAAAGCAAAACATAGTTGATCAGGGCTAGCTTGTTTTTGGGAGACGTAAAACCTGAATAATACTACAAGCATTTTGGTTTCTTTCCTCCCATTAGAAAGACCAACGTAAGGGCCTATTCAGGGCCTATTCAGAAGCCATCATATTAATATACTGGGGCCAAATGGTTTGAGCTGTGAACTCTTTGCCTTAAGAGAGTTTAGAGAAGTTCTCATTGGAATTCCTAGAGGGTGTGGATGGAGGAAGCAAAGTAGTGCTGTGCAGTCCAAGGCTTAGCCTGTGAATGATTGTTCCCTTTGTTTTCAATGAGGAATTAAGCCTCAATTTGTTATGTTGCTGCTGATTGTTCTAGAGTATATATCACATTAATTTTATGTTAACGTTTTCCCTGTGTTCTAGAGTCATTTAAAAGTAACACTCTTATTTCCCCATTGTTAAAAATATTTCACTCTAGAATAATGGCCCAAGTCTTTCTGATTGAGAGAAACTCTTACAGGGCATATGGTAGCTATTTTTATGAGAATCATTTATTTTCCCCGACCAAATATTGCTTACTTTTAAAGTTGTAATATTTTCAAATTATTGAAAATATTCAGGTCACTAAGTGCCAAATGGTGTGAGGAGACTAATGTACCTACTCTCTGTTAAATGGTGAATTGGATTTGCTCTATGGCTAATTGTGTGAGTATCTGTAAAAATCTGTTAAAAATTAACTTGCCTTGAAAAGTTGAGACTTTTCAATCACAATGAGATACTATTTTTCACACCCTACAAATTGGCAGAAATTAAATATGACATTATCAAGTATCGGTGAAGATTGAGCCATAGTCCCTGCTCTTAGAATTGTAAATTGGTACAGCTACCTTGGAAAACAATTTGGTATGACCTGGTAAAGTTGAGTATGAGCCTGTTCAACAACCAGCATTACATCGCTGGTAGGTCTGTACTCTAGAGGCCACCTTGCCTATGTGTACTAGGAAACGTGCATAAGATTGCTTGTAGTAGTATTCTTTCCAATAGCAACAAAACCGGAGTCAAGTGAATGTCTTTCAGAAGTAGAATGAGTAAATAAATTGCATACTCATCAGTGGATTACTGTTCAGCAGCAGAAAAACATGTGCCACAGCAACCTGTATCAGTATGATGTGACATTATGCTCAAAAACATGCTCAAAGATGTGTTGCTGAGCAAAAATAGAAACTTAAAAAAGTTTCCATTTATGTGAAGATCACGAACAGAATAGACTAGTTAGTATGTTTTAAGAAATGTATACATGCATGGCAAAATTATAAAGAAGAGCAAGGAAATGATCAGCTGTAAAAATTCAAGCTAATGGTTACCTGGTGTTGGGTGGGAAATGAGATGGGGGAGTGGCTGGCACTCGGGGGCTTCAAAAGAACTTGTTATTTTCTTAAGTTGAATAGGGTGCACCTGACTGTTTGTGGTATTATTAGTCTTTAAACTATACATTTATGTTGTTTATATTCCTTTTGTACATATGAAAACGTTAATGAGCCCCCAAATTTACCCATTTATTTAACCAATGGGTTGTTCATGTAGCCAGGAGAATTAAATTTAATAATTATTTTAGCTGCTGTATTATTTTTCCAACCTGAGTCTGAGACTCCTTTTCCATCTTCAGGCTCAAGAACAGGTCCTGCTTGCTCTTTAATGGAAGAGGGCATATGTACCCCTTGCCCTCCTTCCTGCCAACTCTGGAAGACTATAGTGGGGTGCATATACTTTTTCACTGTATCTTCTGGACAACACAGACACCTGTATGATGAAATGTAGCTGAAGGTGGTGCTTTTGTTGTGAAATTGAATTGGAAATAAAATGCTATTAAGCTCCACTTTGTCCTTGCTGAGCATTTGTGAACAGTATTCCCCTATAAACTCTTGATATCTGCTGAACAGATGTCTTATTTCCTGTGTTCTTTTAGGCTGGGAGCCGTTTATTGAGCCATGGCCATGCTCTGTATCCTGGCAACAACAGGCAGCTAGTCGCCTCCATCCTCCTCGCCTGAAGCTGGAAGTCAAGGCCAAGCCCCGATTGGATATCAATATCACTTCTGTACTAATTGGTGAGGGGAAAGTTGCCTTTCATAGATTGGTACCTTTCTGTGCATAAGTTCCAAGTCTGGAAGACTATTAATCCTAGTTTAGCAAATACGTGGGCCTGTGCCAGGCATCACTTATTCATAAGGGCTGCTTTCCTGAAAAATCCTGACATGGCCTCATGATTCTTCTCAACCCATTTCTCCAGAGTTGGCATCCCATATTAAGGATCTGTGATCAAGCAAGAGCTTAGAATACTTGGGAAACATAAATGGCCGTGATGAACTCTCTCCTCATAATGCTTAGTCACTGGGGTTTATTCAGTATCCTGGAAGTGAGTTTAGATTCACTTCTCTTAGGCTATTCACAGAATAATTCTTAAAAGGTATGATTTTGAACCCTGTCTTTATGGCAGAGTAAGTTGCTTGTATTGTTTTCCATCAAGTAGCACGTTGATCTAACTCGGAAAATGATTTGCTTAAAGGGTTGCCAAGCTAATGGTGTGTGTTCTGAAAGTTTCTTTGGCAATACTGAAGTGCACATCCCTGGATTTGATGTGAAAGAGTACCACTTAATTCTTGTATTTCAGTCATTTGAAAATAGTAATATTATCATACAATCAGGTAGTATGTACTTTCACTATGAAAACTCACATCTTGTTTGATTTATTGATATATGATCTGATTTTGGAAATGCTGTAGTAATCTTTGAATGGTAACATGTAAATTGTGCTATCGTAAATTGTGAACTTTCTTCAGTATGTATGTTGATTGAGGCTGTTAGAATATTCATTGCCTTACCCATGTCAGAATAGGATAGGAAGAATGTATAGTGAAATGAGACCATGAGCTTTCTGATCTCCAAAATTTAAAACCACTGTTTTATATGATCAGATTTCATTCACTAATTTGCCTGAATCTTAATATCACATATATGATAGTAAATTGGCCTTATTATCCTTCTAACCCTGCAGTCCCCAACCCCTGGTTTGTGGCCTGTTAGGAAACAGGCTGTGCATCACTGCCTGAGCTCTGCACATGCCCACCCCTGACACCTCACCCCCAATCCCCAGTCTGGGGAAAAATTGTCTTCCATGAAACTGGCCCCTGGTGCCAAAAAGGTTGGGGACCATTGTCCTAAACTACATTATTTTGACTCCTACATTGTTTCTTGTACTTAATCTGTTACTCTGCAACGTTAGACAAAATTTGTGGTAGTCCTTTGAAAAGATATAGCAAACAAGAGCTTACCTCAAAAGGGTTCTTGTTGGTATTTCTGATGAGCATCTGTCTATTTAAAAATATCTTCCAAAGGCTTTCTTGTCAGCGGTAAAATTGTTTTTTTTCCCCGTCACCTTTTTATTCCTAATACTGTTCTGCAACCCAGAAACATTGCTGTGACCTCTTAGTATTTAAATAAATTTTATTTCTGTAGCCAGCTACTGGAATTAAAAAGCAGAGGCCAGTAATTCTTACCCAAAAATCATCATATTTTAATTAGTGTAGCAATTCTTCTCTCGTGGAGAAAAAAGTAAAACTACTCGTGGAGAATTGTCAGCTGAATTTCAGCCTTCTGAGTCGAGTTGTTTTTTAGTAGCCTCCTAATTGTTGTCTCCATCTTCAAACCCTCTTCATTAGCATAGATAGCATACCATGCTCGTTCCAGATGAAATTCTCTTTTCTGGACTTCTCTACTATACCCTATCCCAACATGCTGTGCTAAGGAACTAGTCACTGTTCCCTAAGTGTGCCATGTACTTTCATGTCTTGGATTCTTTGCATATGCCATTCCCTCTGCCTAGAGTGTCACTCTATCCGTAGTCCTGCCGGTAAACTCTACCCAGGCTTCCAGACCCAGAACAGAGGTCTCCACCTCTCTGAAGGTTTCCCTGACTTTGGTGCACACTCCCCCACATCTGCCAAAGCAGAATAAATCTCTCTCTTCTTTATTCCCATAGAATTTTATTTATATCTTTGTTTTAATATCTTCCACATTATGACATAGCTTTGTGGAAGCAGTTGTTTTGTTCACATTAATCTCTTCTAAGGGAGTGTGAAGTTCTCCAGGGCACAGACTTTCCCAGAATCTAGCATAGGACTAGCACCAGTATATAGTAAGGCACTCAATGAAAGCTTGTTTTGCTGATTGAAATTGTTTGGCTTAAATCCTTAATCTTTTTCATTTCCCTTCTTAATATCTTTGGGGGATTCTTTCTAGACCAGTATGTAAGTAC